GGCAGGACGCAAGAGTTCCGAAAGCAGGGACCGCATGCGCTCATGCACAGTCGCCAATTTCGTTCCAAGTCGTTCGACATCATCCTTGATGTAGGACTCGAGGGACTCCACGTCTGTTCCAACCGAAGAGAGAGTGTGTAAGACAATCTCCGGTTCAGTATAGGCCCGCTTCCACTGTGAAGTCGAGGACGAGGTTTCAGTAGGGGGGACTTTCGGAGCTTCCATGTAGGATTTCATGGTCTCGCCGATCTTCAAGAAGAAGTCCGAAGCAATATCAGTCACTACGTCCAGAGCTGACGGCTGATACTCCTCAAACCCGGTATGATAAAAGATCTTGGCAACTGAGCGCTGCAGAGCGGCTTTGCAGACCCAAGGAGCCACCACTGGCCCCTCGTCATTCATGACATGAGGAGGGACATCTGCCTCAACAAAGGGCTCTGGATTGTACTTCTGGAACTGATTTTGATACATCTGGGACAGATTAGGAGGTTCCTAGTTACCAAGCAAGAAACCGAGACTTACCTGAGATTGCAGTTGCATCTGCTTAACAATCCCAATTTTCGAGCAGATCTTTCGTGTTTCTTGCATTTGCCGCATGTTTGCATCCATTTTCTGAGAAAGCTTACTATCCGGCTGAACAAATAGTCCCTTTGGCAGAATCCTCAAGAACTCCTCTGATGCATCAATGACATTGCCATCGGCATCTTCTCTCCACAGCAACTGTTCAGGGAGATCAGGAACACCAGACATGACGTCGTAGTAATCGGGAATGACTCTCTCCTCGTCACCCTCAATGCCCTCGGCCAAGGTCTCACCAGCAGCATCGGCCTCCATGGCCTGCGAGTTTGCGTCGCGTGCGTGATCGCCTTCTGCGATGCTCTGTTTCTGGTTTCTCAACCATCTTCTCATTCCATGCTTTGTCCTAAGCAAGGCCGGTTCGTCCGAGTTGAGCTTGTCACCCTTGAAGAGGCGATGGCGCTCCGCAGCAATAACTGCTCGGTCCTTCTTTGTGACCTGCTTCCAGACCTTGTATTCAGGATCCTCAATCTCTATGCCCGGTGTGTTTAGAGCGCTCAGTGCATTGCTTGGAGTGGGTAAACCGTCGATCTCCATCGAGTCACCGTGCACACCCTGTAGTCCCGTTCCGGCGCCGGCAGGGTCAGAAGGTGTTTGGGTTCTCGGAGGCGGTGTCGCGAATCCATTCGGAGCTCCCTCCATGGCAACATCGGAGTCCGAACGTACAGGCGCGGGCGGCTGAGAAGCTGGAGGTTCCGACGCGCTTGGAGTATCCCGAGCCGGAGCAGTGCCCTTCTTAGCGGCCGACTTCCCGGGTGCTTTCCTGCCTCTTGACGACATTATAGGTTCGTCGTCACTTTCCTCGGCGCCGTCAAGCTCCGCAAGCTGCATCCTGCGTTCCTCCGCCTCGACTTCAGCGCGATCTCTGATGACGATATCCGGTATGAGGGGAACCAGCTTTTCGGTCTCCTTCTTCATGTACATGGCGTGCTTGCGCAGGAAATGCTCAGGATTTGTGTTGTACTTGAAACAGTTGGACCAGATGAGGTTGAGGTCGTCGACAAACTCCTGTTTCGATTTGTACTGAAGCGCCTTGAGTTTCTTTGTCATTGTCCCCAGATCCATCGGGTGTTTGATGACTGCGATGGAGATCAGTATACTTCATAGTACTAGAGAATCGCGCGCAGGGGAGAGGGTGGTTCCTTACTGGTATAATAATCCGGAGCATCTCGCTTATTGACACGAGTCAAGAAAGCGGATGAATGCTCAGTCATAGCCTTGAGCTCGCTTAACACCTTCTCAGCAGCTTCGTAGAGCTCCTCCTGACCAATCTTGTCTTCACTGGCCCATTTGCTTCGATTCTTGCGGACTTCGCTCATCAAGCTTCGAAGTTCGGCGTCCGACGCTTGGACCATGTTGCGCTTCATGTCGATCCGCGCAATGAGATTCTTCAAGGTCAGACTCGATGCGCCCAAGTTGGCATTACTCAGGGAGCCGTAACCGTCCGTGCTCGCGTTCGCATTGGTGCTGCCGGCATTGGCTTGACTCGACATTTCAGCTTCTACTTGCCTCTCGGATTCTTCCAGGCGCTGTTGGTCCAGCATAGCATCCCTGTCGTTCTCTAACGTGTGAAACATGGTGTGGAAACTTCTCCGCGCAGCTTCCTCGGTGGCTTTCTTATCCTCCTCCAGCTTCTTTCGGATGTCCTCAAGCGTCTCCTTCTTCACTTCTTTCAGGGTATCGGCCGCAACCGATGCAGCGGTACTCGGACGATGCTTCGGAGACGGGACGCCACTAGGGTCATGGGACGGAACCGAGGACTTGGATTTGGGCGGGGTGGGAGCCTCAGCCTCCTCCTCCTCCTCGTCGTCGTCGTCATATTCGTCGTAATCATCATCGTCCAATTTTCTCGCCGGTTTCTTAGGCGCGACGGGGAGCGACACCGATTCGTCGGCGCGGTTGATTTGGGACTCGGGTTCCTCCGTCTCGGCGTCAGCAGTGCCGAGGTCCTCTTCAGCGGTATGTTTTTTTGCAAACAAGGCGTTTATTTTCGCCTCGCTGCTCTTGTACAGATCGCGAAAGGTGGCAATGCGTGGATCTTCGTCGGCCGCAGTATCAGACTCCGATATCAAAGTACCCGCGAGAGCGCCATCGGCCCCGGCAGATGCGCGCATTTGCGGCGTCTTGAGCCCGGAAAAAGATTTAGAGTAGCCATTGACAGACCGCAAGTCATTGGGATCGTCGGCGTGCCGGAGATGTCCTGGTGGCTGCCAGGTGTGGTGGTGACCGAGCGACATGCTCGCTCCAAAACCCCAGTTCTGGGGCGGGCGAGGGGGCTCGTTTCTCCACGTTTAGGAACAGGTCCAGGAGGGAAAGGACGGTGGGGGTTGACGGGGAAAAAAAGACATAGAGAGAAAGATCCAATCGAGAGAAGTCACAGGAAGATTCTTCCCGGTCCAAAACCGATGGCGCGGGGGATGAAAATTGATGGCGAAGGTGGACGCTTCTGTATGAGGATCTCTGCGCGAACGGATGAGGTGAGGTCGAACGTGAAGGCGGAAAGGCTGCCGCAGTTTCAGACCAATTGCGCAGTTCGAGGTTGGAGGCAGCAGGCGATCATCACGAGCAATCTCTCTATTGATTTATTTGTAGAAAGGAAAAAAGACAATAGGACGAATATGATTGTCAGTATGGCTTTTGTCAACAGTATCTTCTATTGTATTGTCAACCTCGAGTGATGCTATTCTCCAATATTTGCGCCTCAGGACAATAATGCAGCAACCCATCCAGATGCAGCAGCACATGACGAACCCGGAACATCGCCAGTAGACTAGTAGCAGCGAGACATCACCGTTTCCTTTCATTCAATAAATTGCCGACAATCTCCCAAGATAGCTTTCGGGCTCTTTAACCACTTCAGTTCTCCTTTCACCATGCGAATCCGATACCCCTTCGCAGGTAAGTTCGAAAGTCAAGTGTTGCACCCGTAGCTTCAGGCATCACTTACTCTTTCCGGACAATACAACACAACGACCTAACTAACGACACACAGGCGCCTTTCTCTTCCTCCTAATCCTCGCAGCCTATATCGGCCTGCTCCCTCACAGCACCTCCTCCTCAATCCCATCAAACCTCCAACCAAACGACAAATTACTCCACGTCGTCACCTTCTTCTTCCTCTCGCTCGTCTTCTACTGGATCCCAGATACCACCCGCCGCCGCTCTCTACAATTGACCCTGCTCATCTGCACCCTCGCCCTCGGCATCGGCTCCGAGATCGTCCAAGCCATTCTCCCCAATGACCGCCCATTCGACCCGTTCGACATCCTCGCCAACCTCGTCGGCAGCCTCGGTGCCGTCGGCTTATGCAGCTGGTACCACCGGCGGATGCTAGAGCGGCGGCGCAAAGCGCGCTTCGGGGCGCTGGGCGACGAGCGCGGGGATGACGTCGAGCTGGGCGGTGCCGGCGGGTCGGATAGTGGCCTCGGGCCGCAGGAATCGGGCGTGATGTCGCTGGAGCAGGAGGTCGACAATTGGGATGAGAATGCGGTGGATACATGGGATACTGAGGAGGGGGCGGATGAGTATTCTGCTGCTGCTCCGGGGCGAGGTCCGGAATCCAAGGTCTCGCCTGTTAATGGCGAGGGCGCGAAACGGACTGATTGATTCGGCTTGCGGTTTGTTTTTGAGTCGTAAGGTCTTGCCCGTTGCGCTGGGCAGATTAGAGAAGCATTACCGGCAGGTGTATCTACAGGTCGCCCATCGCTGATGAGCCCATCCTTTGTCATGTCTATATGCCTCCGCCTACCTTAACGACTGCCTCTGTGGAAAAGAAATCCTTGTTTATGATATTTATGGCCATGTTGTGAATCTCTGGGATGACGCTGTACATTTATATCTTCCGTTTTCTCGTGCTTATATACCACCCTCTACTTCGGGAACTTCAGCTTGCAATTCATGGCGTTGCATGTACTCAGCAAGAACCTGTAATACAACTTTTTGTCTTGCTGACCGGGAAGTTTCAGCTGAATCGGGTCTACATGCCCGTGGTTTCCGCGAGTCTAACCTACTCTTCACTGCTTGAGGACAGACAATCCAGTCGATCCAATGACTGTAAAAGAAACATGCATTGGATATTATATTCCTCGTAACCATATTCAGAAAGTTTATGTTACACCAATTCTATTGCTGGGAAGTTCCGACCAGGGAGAGGACGAACGACTTTGAAACCACGAGCAAACGCACGGAAGTCGTAATCAATGAAGTAGTCAAACATGATCCGGTATGCGATAATGTGCGATAGGGACGAAAGTGACGAATAGACGCAATGCAGGCCAGGAATAAATCATGATAAGTCGTCAACGTAAGACAGGTGGGTTGTATCTGAAGGTAAGGGGTGTATGTACGCAGAATCGGAACGTGGGTATGTGTAATCGGAGTGCTTCCTCCATGCTCAGAGTTTCCTGGTGTTCCAGGCCAGCTCCTCATGGCGAGGGACTATCATTGACTGGCTCCAGCTCTGGTTTATGGGAAGGCAGATACTCGGAACTGTTCGATAGCTTGGCCATCTTCGCAGATCTCTCGTCTAATCTCCGCCCTGCGTAGCTCGTCGTCTTTCCAAGTTTAAGGTCGACCTGCTCGCGGAGCACTTCATAGATGAACTGTAGTTGCATTTCATTATAGACCATCATCATCCGCTGTTCTCGCATTCGGTTGACCGTTTCAAAAACAGGATCGGTTTGCGGGTCGGTCACCTTGAGCAGCTGCCCCGAGTCGAGTTCCCGCAAAAGATGGTCTAATGCGATGAAAGTGCCGGTGCGACCAACACCAGCGCTGCAATGCACGATCCGTGGGTTATCCGATGGACATTTGGACGCGGAGAGTTCAATCAAGTGAAGCAGCGCTTCGCGGTCCTCACCTTCTGGCTTAGAGTAATCCGCCCAGCCAGCAAAAAGGAAATGCCAGACAATCTTTGACTCGTTGGCCAATGTGAGTCGCAGTTTGCGAACCTCAGAGCGAGAGTATTGGTCAAAGCTCGATTCCAATAGAGTGACTTCGCCCATTATGTTGTCATTCGCTTGTTCGTACTCCTCGTTGTGTTCGAAAGGGTCGTCCTCGTCGCGCCGCAGAATCATGGAAGGCCGGTCATGGTCTAGGGGAAAGTATTGCGCACATTTCTCGCGGCCCGACTCGACCGTCTGCGTGAGCATGACGATGACAGCAACATCGTTGCTTTCGTGGAATACCATATGCCAGAAATGAGCAAGGTGGCCTACTTTCGGTCCCTTCACACACAAGAATTAGTGGGTCGATAGGCCCGTCATGACATACGTATGCCCACATACCTGTGTTGCAATATACCTCCTCTCCTCCTGAGACACTGAATCAGTAAGGACGATGGGCGATGCATTGATGAAATCGCATTCGCCTTCCGGCACCCGGAGATGGATGCGCGAGTTTGCCCATGCCTGCACGTTCAGATATCGGTTTCGAGCCCTGACCTCGGGATCCGCCTCCAAAGCCCAACGGTGGGCGGGGTCATTCGACAGCATCCCCTCGGCGAAGCGCGCCCGTTGTAGCCATTCCAATTCCTCAAATTTCCGGTGTATCTCTAATATAATAATGAAGCGTCAGTGACTCTGCGACACTTCAGGACAATAACGTCTTGCGCAGCGATCGTCAACCGAAGCTGTCATCGGAGGGGCGCATACTGACCGATGGCAGATTGGCACAGAAACGGGGGAACGAGTTCATTATCTCCAGCTTCCAGGCCGGGATCATCTAACTCGGAACCGGACACAACGTCGAAACCACCTTCAGTATCTTCCGGGAGAGCACGCTTAGTCGCCTGGACACTCGTATCGATCTTGATGGTGGGATGCGCCATCTTGGCCGCAGCGATCCTTTGGAAGGCACGAACCTTGCCTAGGACGCCGCGCGCCTTCTTCGAGACCCGCTTTCGAGTTGAAGCAAGCTTTCGAGTGCCGCTGCGGAAACTGAGAGTATCTGGAGAAGGGGAGCGGGAGGGTGGTGCTGTAATAATCTGCCCCGCGTTGCCGTCCGATGGGTCGTCGCTCGTGCCGTTGGAGGGGTGTGGCAGGGATGATATCTGTAGCGTGGACAGATCGGGACAGCTGTGGCAGCTGCCCCTGGTCGTGATTCTCTTGGCCAGATTTTCAGGTCTCACAGGAACAACTTGCTGTCGGTTAATATCTAGGGAAGGATGATTGTTTGTATAGAATCGGCTCGGTCGCGAGGCCACCGTTAAGGTCCACGAAATGTGAGAGTAACAGGGTAGTCTCGACCGGTTTCTCCTACGTTGAGGCAGGAGGTAACGAAGGCAGCGAAGATTTTCCTTTCGAGACGCCAACGCTAGGCACGATTAAGGGCCGTTAAGGTCGATAGTACCAGAGGTATAGAATGCGGGAAAATTTGATCCAGAGAAAAGTAC